CCAACATATCGTGTAAAGGCAAATTAGATTTGTTTCGGTACAAACCAGATGCATGTACATACGAAATAGAAATGTTTCTATTTTCATCTCACACACAGATAGAATCATCTGAGTTTAGTTTATTTCGTTTTCAAAGAACGTATTTTTAATTAGTTAAATAAAGACTGTGAATTTGACAGACATACGCAATTACTTATCTATTGAAAAAGTCTCAATTACAGATGCAAATACTTATATATCGTGCCAGAACACCTTTACAACTACGTTATGCAGAGGTTTCACTGTATTTATTTTCAAAGTAGTTATGTGTAACTTGGTATCAATCACTTTCATCCACTTTATCAGGTGTGTTATGTGGCTCTGATAAATTTATATTTGTTATGCACGAAACTTGCTGTGATTGATTTAAAATATTAATATGTATGTACATATGTATGTACATTAGAGTGGTCCAATTTTTGTATGGGGAAAAACTATTTTATCCTAGAAAACGGGGCACCCCTCAGGGGGTTCCTTTTGATATTTGTGATACCTATACCAACTTTCAGTTTTCTACTGCAACCAATACAGGGTGCTCAATGGCCTTGAAATGCGCTACTAGATCGATGTGAAACTGGCAGAAATATTGGCGATTTTTATAAAAAGCTAGGGTGCCATGACAACTGAAGCTTGTGATATTTTAATAGATAATTTAAATTTTAAATGTTTTGTTCTTATGTTACTTAACCAATTAATATATGTACGCAATACTTCTAGAGTAAAATATGAGCATCCGCTAAATGGATACTTAAAAACTTAAGGCTTGGTACCAGCACCTCTTTCGGCAAGAGGAATAATTTTGGAAGGTGCCCAAACCCTATCTGAAAAAAATAACATTTTTGAACCACTCTAATGTACATACATAAATACATACATATGTATGTACCTATGAGTGTATGAACAATTAGGCATTTACTATTTATTGCTCTTTATTATCATCAATAGCCCAAGTGTGCGGGTGAGTCATATGGTGCGCTTACGTTTCCCCCGCCAACGCCGGTTCGTACAAATTTATTATAAACTACAGTATACATATCGCAAGGTTGAATCATTCAATTGAAAATTGAAAACATACAACAACAGGAAAAATAAAAAGCAAAGAAAGATATCACAAAAAAAAACAAAAAATATGCATAAGTATGCATGCATAAAAGTAAGTAGAAGAAAATGAAAATTAAAATACAACTGATTTGTTTATCACAGAGACCTTGAATATAACGAGCAAGCAAGCCACCTTCGAGTGCTGGAAATCTAAATGGCAGTTGCTGCCCTCCCACCACATGCCGGGCGCGCGGAACCAAAGTTGCTCGTATGCTTCTACAGATGTACACCACTTTGTATATTCTTAATGCGTTTGTAACATTGTAGTTGATAGATATCGCACCCTTCACTTTGCAATCAAATATGTAATCATCATTTACGATTATTTAATAGATTTGTTGTGTGAATGTTGCATATCGCAAAAGAAGGTGTTAAGTATTTATTTATTTACTTATTCAGAAAATTAAAAAAAAAGAAAGAGCATGTAAAGTAAAACCTTAATGAAAGCTGATAAGCATCAACGTAAAAAACCCAAAACACGCTCACATGTGGCTCGCGCTTTTGTAGACATAACAGTAGTGGTGATGGAACTTTGGTAACAACAGCAGTCAACTTTCATATTAGTCAACTCAGTTAAGCTTGAACAGAGCGCCAGGCACTATCAGAAATTGCCATGCAGTGATAGTGGCACGCGTGGTTATCAGCTATGTATTTTTTTTTTGTTTTTGTATCGTAATTGGTCACTAACCTAATGACCTTCAAGGAGAAATAGAAAATACCTTCTTTGCTAGTTTGCGAATGTGCTACAAGCTTTGGTGTGAATAGCAGAAAGAAGATTACTTTATTTGATTTTTGCCGGTGTGATGCAAAAAGTGATTGAAAAGATGAGGTTTGTTGAATGTTTTAATGGCAAGAAAGGAAAAAATTGTTTGAAAAACTAAATGAACTTGCTCAAAGTTTTTATAGTAGGTACGAGTATAAAAAAAAAAAAATTAAAAATGTACAGTGCCATCTCGGTAATCCAGAAAGCCTTAAACCTGAGGCCGTGCGTTATTGGGAGTGCCCGGATTATAGTTGATGAATGACAATATGAACATTTTTGCCAATTAATTATGTACTTATACTACATACATATGTACATATGTATTTTGCCGCGGCCGCGGTTAGCAGTGCCATCATTCCACAGGGCCTGGGTTCAAGCCCGGTTGAACCCAACATCAAAAAATAAAAAAATAAACAAAAAACGTTTTTTTTTTCTCAGCTCCAAGTGTATTTCTGCCATGAAAAACAGCTTCTCATAAAAATACAATCGCCGTTCGGAGTCGGCGTAAAACTGCAGGTTTTTCGTATGACAATTAGCGCAATAATATACCTATGAAAAAAGTTGAACAAAAACTACATGTGTAGCTGCGTACGAAAAATTTTGCCAGAATACAAAATACATATTTTCCTATTTATTGTCCGAAGAGTAGGGTAAAAAATGTGAAAGTATCCGTTTTGTAACAGTGTCCGGATTACAGGGTGTTCTTGATACCTAAATAACATTTAAGGAATCAAAAACTAAATGAACATAAAAACGGAAAATTAAACAAGTAAAGATTATCGTTAATTTCTTTATGCTGGAATGATCGGATTTAAACCAAATTCGTATGTGGGACCACCTGTGAGGTAACACCTTTCCTTAAAAAATTAAAAATCGAAAAGATATATACCATTGAAAAAGATAAAAAAAAAAATAAATTCATGTATAAAATATAAAAATAAATAAAATGAAAAATTTTTAAATAAAATAAAAAACACCCAGAAAATAAAAAAATGGAGGATTAAAATACATACATATTAGGGCTGTGCGATTATTCGATTACTCGACCAAGGTGGTTAATCAGTTTTCCGGTTAATCAATTACTCGATTAATCAAGATTTTGATTACTCAAAACGATGATTAATCGGAGTTACTTGATATATGATTACTCCAAAAAATTAATTTTGCTCGATAAATGAGTTTGCTTTGAAAAATGCTTATTTTCTTTTTTACATTCTGTACATGAAAAAATTATTTTTTGAAACCAGAAACGTTGTTTTCAAGGAACTTCAACTGCTTTATATGTAAACAGTACTTTGAAATGTTTATTACTCATTTTACTCATTAATCATAAAGCAAATTACTCATATATTTTTGTTTTTGAGTTATTTACTTTATGGTTAATTAAAATTTTGAATAATCAATTAATCGCACAGCCCGAATACATATATATGTATATAAAGAGTACGGTAAAAAACTGAAACATAACTAAAAAATAAATAAACAAATAAACAAGAAAATATATAAAAAACAAAACGGAGAAAAAATAAATAGAACACAAGAAATAAAAAAAAAAATAAAAAACAAAACAACAGTTTATAAGGCGAACTTAGCTCAGTGGGTAGACCATTGGATTTGTACACTGGGGTCGCTGTAACGAATCCCAGTGAAGAAGTCTGATGAGGGGACGTGGTGATCTCCGAAATAGCGGCTATAACTTTTACCTATATGTAAATTATTATTGTTTTTTCACACCATTTTTCATAAAAACGGCCTCAAGCTCAACAAAATTGTTGAATATAAAAGAAAAAAATTAAATAAATATCAAAAAAGAAAAAAAAATCAAAAGAATACATAATTAGAAAATAGAGAAATTGGGGGAAAAATATAGTGATAAAAAGGGAAACTAAAAACAAAGAAGCAAAAATGACATTAAATAAATGCGAAAACAAAAAATAAAAGGCAAACTAAAAATAAAAAAAAAATCCAAAACTAAATGAAAATAAAAACCGCCTTGATAAAAACAAATCAAAAACAACACAACAAAAAAAAAATACATATAAAGATAAAAAAATAGAAAGGTAAACTAAAAACATGTTTGATTCAAAATTAAAAAAAAAAAAACAAAAAAGTAGTTTTTCAAGCAATTTGTTTCAAGACTTCAGGTGGTTCCTTCAAAGTCGGGAATACAAAATGTTAACAAGCATTCGATTAAGAAGAATCCAACCCCTTGTACAGGGACAATGCTCATGTCCCTCCAATTGCCCAAAACGATACGAGGGAGGGTCAATTTTGATACATATAAGGGTTGAACTTTATTAGCTCATTTCAAAATTTAAGTTCCCTTTTTGATAAACGAACAAGTTGTTGTTGTTGTGGTAGCGGCTACTAAGCCCCGTTCGGGTCGGTTCATCCATCAACGTTTTCGTCAATTTCAGCTAGGGGGAGGCCCAGGAAGTGTGCGACTTCCACAGAGGCTGTCCATAGGGACAGGGGCGTCAGCTGAGTGGGGTTCTCTATCGATCTAACTCCGTTTAGGTCGGCGAAATCCATCAAACGAACAAGTTGTTCTTTTTGCTCGCTGATTCGTTGCATTATTTAACCAGCTTGAGTTAAAAGTGAGAGCGTGTAAGTGTGCCTAATTTTCTGTTGCATGCTGTCGCGCGTCATTGTTCCGATCTGGTGTGTGGGCGTACATGGCATGTTTACGCTCTTTAAGCACTTGCTCTTTCTCTGTCCATGCCTGTTCATGAACAAGAAGAACCAGGTAGCCGAAGGAGCAACATTAACACAAACTCAAAGGTTTAGCTCAATTGAAGGACCGTTCAACCGCACACTCTTCAGTATCAGTAGTTGGGCCAAAATATTTTATAGTTGAAGGAAGATGACTCATTTTCTTTTTCGTAAAATTTACTCTTGTTCGGCGAGTATGTCTTTTCTACCATCTGTCATGCCAGTAGCAGCTCATCACATCTACGGCGAGCTATTGAATGTAGATAATAAAATTTTGCATGAAAAAAGTCTATGGCATTTTTGGTGGAGGGTGGTATACAATTATTTATCTAGCCATCGAATCCTTTATTATCAATCCTAACCTTATGTTTTAAAATCGTTCCAGGTGTTCAAAAAATGCCCAGAAATGCTGCAAAAAAATTAATTAACGACGAGGTGTGTCTTCCAATACAAACAGCTAAAACAACAACAACAACAGAAACAATAATTATAATAAACTCAGAAAACGATATACGAGGTACTACACCAACAAAATCCACTACTACTACACAACCAACAGGTCAAGAAAAGAAGAAGAGCAAAGCAGAATTAGAACAAACACAGCAGCAAACACAAAAACAAACATTAAAAACCAAACTACATCGCAGAAAACGGCGACGCAGACAAAGAACTAAAAAACGTACCAGCACAGGCTGTGCGAAACCGCCATCAGAAACAACAACAACAACAGCAGCAACTAAAGTAGCTGCCGACAAAAAGCCAGCTAAGTCAAGAACCTCGAAAAAGTTCTATTGTCCGCCTTATTTCTCAACACTCTATCCCGTTGTTATCGAGACTTGTCTGGAAGCAGAGTTACAAGCCACCAGCGCTAGCAGCAAATCGGGTACAACTGCAAGTAACACAAGCGCTGCTGGAGTTGGCGCAAGTAGCACCGGCGTTGGTGCAACTTCTACTCCACGCCCGCCAGTCAGTGCTGGGGGTAAACGTCAGTTACGCAGGCGTCGCAGCGTCACCAATTTCAGCAGCCGCAAGAACAGAGCTAGAGCCAAAGCAGCGGCGGCAGCAGCAGCTGCGTCGGCTGCAGCTAAAGTACGCGTCAACAGTAAGGAAACCGCTGCACGATTAGCGACATTACGCAATCGAAAAAAGCCAGAAGAAGATAGCGCCAAGAATAAGAGGAAGGAGCAAAAGTCAGCAGCGCCTGGTACTAGGGGCACCACCAGCAGCAGTGATCAGCAAGTAAAAAGGCACGCAGGTATGAGAATCAAAGATATTAACACTTATACTATTTGCATGTATATATGTATATATTTTCTTACCGAACTTCTCCGCAGCCTGGTATAACTTGGATGAAGCATTGCTGAACAAAATCGAACCACTCGAAGTTGAGGTGAAAAAAGCCGGCAGTAAGCGTAAGCGCGACAGTAGCGTTGCAGTAGCACGCAAGCGCAATAGCATTACACATAAACACACTCCGCCGCCCGCGGTGCACTTATCTCCAGCAGGCTTTGATTTTCCTGCGCTCAATTGCATTGGCGCGCCGGCAGTGGAAATTATCGCCAGTACCAGCATTGTTAAAGTCTCAACTACAGTCACTGCTGAGTTAACAGGCGTCTCAACTTCAACCAGTATTACAACAACAGCGCTAGCACCAACAACCGCAACCACATCTAGTGCTTCTGCGCCAATCTCAACCGTTGGCAGCGCCAAAAAACGCGGACGTTGCAGCATGTCGCTCTACGAGCGTCGCTACCAAACCACTGATGCAGAGGCGCGTGCAGGCGCGGGCGTAGTCACGAACGGCTACCTTAGCTCGACGCGCACCTCATCAGCCTCATCTAGTGCCGTACATTCGGACGCTGACAATACCCAGGACATCAGCCAACAGTACTATATGCCCGTGGCATCAGTCTCTAGTAGTGGGCTCGCCGGCAGCAGCAGCAGCGGCAGCGGTGTCGTTACAGGCGTACAGCTCGGCAACGGCAGCGCCCTTAATCATGCACCATCCATGGCGACGCTGTGCAACATTGGCAACACTTGCTACCTGAATTCGGTGGTGTATACGTTGCGTTTTGCTCCACAGTTTCTACATAATCTCCATCATTTGATAGTCGACTTGTCGAGCATACAACAGTGTATTGCGCGACAACGTGCCGCCAAGTCGTCGTCGCTGGGGCGCGGCATTAGTGCGGTGCAGCTAGAGAATGCGCGCAGTTGGAGCAGCAAAGATTTAGCGGCACTCGAGCAGAATGCGCTTATGAGTGCCGGTGTAGGTGGTGGTGGCGTGGGCGGCTGTGGCGGCGGCATTGGACAAAAGAGTAGTCATCAAATGTTGACTGAACGTTTGCATGAGCTTTACCAGTGTTTGCATCGCAACGAGTTGGCCGAATCGACGGAGCCCTTCCATGCGGATACCCTGCTGCATGCGGTACAGGATGTGAATGCAATTTTTGAAGGAAATCAACAGCAGGATGCGCATGAATTTCTAATGTGTTTGTTGAATAGCATTCGAGAGACTTGCCAGCTGCTGATAAAAGCAATTGGCGAGTATCCCGATTTAATAATGAATGGGTGAGTTGTATTAATAAATAGATATTCAGAAACTTATATACATAATATTAAAAATTCCATTAATCACAATAATTGAATCAACTTCATAAAATTAATTACTTCGTGTAGTTACATTCGCAATCCCGACGAATTGGATGCCTACACCATCGAACGTGACGCACTCACTGGTGGTGTCACTGCCACCACAAGCAGCAGCAACGCCCTTGCTGGTGGTAGCAGTGCGTCCACCGCAACCAATGCCACCAATTCATCGTCGTCTAGTCTCAGCACAAGCAACATAACGAAAGCGTCATTCTTCTCGCGCAAATCTAAGCGAAAAGAGGAATCGAAAAACTCCAAAAACTCACGTCTACAATCTCCTCTGAAGGATGGTCAGAGTGGTGGTCTGCAGGCAACTTCCAACAGCTTATTCTACTTGAACTCGGTAGACCTCAGCGGCGCGTCAGCAACAGCAGCCAATGCATCGGCAAGTAGCCCAAGCGCCACAGTGAAAGGTGTGGCTATCAACACCACGGCGGGCAATGATTCGAACAGTGAACTTTCGTCACCTGTCAGCATGTTGAAGGATAAAGAACGTTTAGCTGAGAAGATACGCGAATTGGGCTTGGATTTTTTTAGCGAAGATTTTGAAGGTGTAACAGTCTCCACTACCAAGTGCTTGAGCTGTGAAACGGTGACGGAGCAGAAAGAAAGCATGATCGATATAGCAGTACCGGTGCCCATTTCCGGCTATGACGTCGCCGATTACTCGGACAAACCCAGTGCGTTTATACAGGTAAAAGGGACCGCGCTTTCTCTATTTGTTTACATATATATGTGAATATATAAAACTGAAATGCAAACTAAAATGTTTACAGTTGACTACATATATAGTAACCCTACTAACCCTAAATATATGTTTTTGTACTGTTTTACACAGAATTCATGCGTTACCCGCGAATTCTTTCGTGGCGAGAATAAATACCGCTGCGAGCAGTGCACAGGCTACACCGAAGCCATACGCTCCATTTCGTATGAAGTGTTACCGCGCCTTTTGATTATCCAGTTGAGTCGTTTCTCCGGCGGCATGGAAAAGATCAATAGCTACATTCCCACTTCGTTCACGTTGCAGTGTTTTTGTGCCAAATGCTGCGAGCTCAGCGACGCCAACAAGCTGCACATCTACAAGCTATACAGCGTTATAACACATGTGGGCGCCACAATGTCCGTGGGTCACTATATCGCTTACACCTGTTCACTTGAGTGGGCCAACGAATATTTGAACTGCCCGAAGGATAGGCGAAATGCTAATAGCAATAGCGGTTCACAGCAAATGGGCGGCCAAGCAAACGGTCTGTCAAATAATAGTCTCTATCCGTTGGGCGGCGGTTCAGCGGCGTCTGGTGGCGGCTCCACGCCAAGCGAACGCAGCAGTCCCGGAACACAAGCTGCATCAGCGGCAAGCGCGGCCGCCTCGGTGCTCGCTTCATCGGGCTCCAGCCTGATGAAAAAGATGAAATTTGGACGCAGCAAAGCATCTAGCAGCGGTGATATGAGTAAAAATGTGAAAAGCCTGAATGGCATCACGAGCAAAACCATCACGAATGGTATTGGCAAGCTCAGCATGAATACCACATGCCACAGTTTGAGTTGCTGCGCAACACGCATTTGCAGCGTACAACAGCAACAGCTGCAGCAGCAGCAACATCAATTGAGCGCCAGCAATAGTGAGTTGAGTGAAGAGACACTGCAGAATGGTACGAATCACGCCTCAGCGTCCATGAGTGTCAGTGGTAGCAGTAATGCTGGCGGCGGTGGTAGCGTCACTGGCAGTGCTGCCAGCAGCACAACGAGCGGCTACAGCAGTTACCCAGCCGGTTATGGCAGTACAGGACGTGGTGGTACGAAAGCTAGCGCTTTTGGCGGTTATGCGTCTAGCTGTGGCAGTCTTTCTGCGGCCGGCAGCAGCAATGGCGAACCCATTTGGTATATGTGTGACGATGACAAAATCAAAGCGATGACCCAACGCGAATTCGAGGAATTGCTATCACCCGCGCGCAAAATCACTGTTACGCCGTACCTGCTCTTCTACGCACGCTTCGATTTGCAAACATCGACGCCACCTAGCGCTAAATCCACTTCAACCGCAGCGCAACAATCTTCCTGGTCTAACGAAAATTTGACGCAGAATCCGAGCGCAACAGCAGCTGCCTTGCATAAAATGTGAGTAACGCTGAGCGAGTCGATGGTGACGGCGGCAGCAGTGGCGGCGGCAATGTCGTCGGCACAACAGCAACAAATGCAGTTGCAGCAGCTGGATCAGCTAATGGATGCAGTCGCTGTAGCGGCGCATTCACGCAAATCCAGACATCATAGTTGCACGCGTCGCCGTTGCAACTGTGAGCAGGTAATTTAATTAGCGGCTGCGATGGCGCGGGCGAATGGCAAACGCTATGAAATGAAACGTAGAAAACGACGAGCTCTTGGAGGAGCTGTAACGGATGATTATTGCTATAGGCGAATAGGAGGAGGAGGAGGAGGAGGAGGAGGAAGTCGCACATTGGCCGCGTCATCGGTGGCGGCGAGAAAACATGCCCGCATGTATACCCGCGCGCCTGCCTCTTTTCCAATTGTGATTGTGCTAATTATTATCATTATTATTTTTTTTATTCTTTATTATTATCGTTAACGTAGTGAAACACTTACAAACACATACGTACATTGAAGCAATCAGTTTGTAATAATGAATAAAATAGTTATGCTTACTAAACTTTTTTCACATTTCATTAAGCAATTAAATATGTATTAATATTTTACGCGTAATGCTAAATATAAGTGACTTTAGTTAACACTCGTATTATTTTAGGTGTTTTAAGCAAGAAGACTTGCTTTGTATGCGATTAAAGTTTAACAGTTTGAATCTTCATAGTTGAGCTTGACCAATTTAGCTGTCTACAGTAAGCTCATTTTTTTCAGAATAAGCAAATTATATGGGTTTCACATGAGAAGAAAGATCTGCCAAAAGAAAAAATGTACATAGTTTTCTTTACACATCGAGCTTAGCGAACGTATTACTACATACCATTCAGCTCTTTTAATAAGCTATTCAGCTCTTTTATTAAGCTATTCCAGACTTTAATTCAGATATTGGGGTGTTCGATTGTTACATCAAATCCGCTGCTTGTTCCGATTTATGGCGTTGGCTCATGGAATAGCTCTTCCTGTACCGTGTCAGTCGTTTGAACTGTAATTTAGCAATTAAGCACTTCAGATATTCCGTTCATTCGCCCAGCTCTTCAATTGGATTCTTCAGCTCTTTCAATTTGCTAATTAGCCCTTTGATTAAGACTCTCAGCTCAGCTATTAAGCCGTTCAATGATATTTAAACTTTTGACGTTCTAATTCAGCAATTCCGCTATGAAATTCAGTTATTTGTTGACATTTTTAGTTTCCATTGCGACTGCTTATGGCAGTCCCTTTTTTTTTGTACGACTTGGCACTATAATTGAAATATTCAGACACTCAGCATACCAGCGCAACTATACTGATATTCTTCGTAATGACTGCTAAGCTAGCTGTAAAGGTCTTTACTTTAAATTCGATTTTTATTCGCCATGCTAACTCAGATTCCTATGTTGTATTCAAAGTTTATTGCTACACGCTTTATGCCACTAAGTTCTACTACATGTACAATTGTTAATATAATAGCCTACAAAAGTAAAAAAGAATCTTTTTCGTTTTAAAATAAAAATTGATGAAAACAAAGTTGACTGATTCCTCCCATTTATACATATAGTACATACAAACATAAGGCAATGCTGAAAACCTAACAAAAACATACATATGAAAGTAATTGGAAAGCATTACAAAAAATGAATTTAAATAAAAAAATTGTTAAAAAAAAAAATTTATAAAAATACACACTTAAAAAGCCTTAGGCCTGTTCGTACTCTGCAACTACTTGATAAGTTAAGTTAGCGTCGATAAGAAAGAACAAACATAACGATAGTACATACTAATAATAAAACAGAAGATAAAAAAAAAAATGTTAAATGCTAAGCAAATTAAAAAGAATAACATACCTATGATTAATTAAAAATTAAAACATTTGTGAAATCTATTGATCTATGAAATATCATACATATGTATGTACATACATATAATCGCTTTCTTATTTTACAATATGAACAAACTCATTTAATTTTTATTTTTTATTTTTTACTTTTATTTTAATTATGTAATATATGCTAACAGTAGTCACAAATAAATTGCTTTAGTCGCAAATAAAGTATGTATGCATGTTTAATATATATGTATGTTTGTTTTTGCAACATATTCATACAATTGAAGAAATCACAACTAATTACATACATACATTACATTGGAGTACATATGTTATCGTTCTTGTCAATGTTATTGTGGCTTATTAACATTTTAAATTGTAATGTTGTTTTATTGAGATTTGTACCACGTTTATGTTTATTAGGAAAAATGGAAAAAGTATCAACGTCTAAGCGGTAGAAGTTATAGCAGCTATTTCAGAGATGACCACACATCTCCTCATCAGACTTCTTTTTCTAGACTTAAGCAGGGGTGTAAGGAGATGGAAACTATTTCACATACGCTGTGTCACTGCTCGGTTTTTGCTAAACGTTAGATTTAAACGGTAAGCAGACACTTTTTCGGGGTATTAAATACAAGATGGTCTATGTATATCAGAAACCTGACGAAACTTATTCATATCTTGACTTAGTTTTAAGGGGATATATAGAGCCAGTTGGATTTTTTAAGAACTATGCACCATGATGTAGTGGGTCTATTATGGCCTCCACTCGCCTTAATATGACATCACATTCGAGGAGCTCGTGCAATTGTGTCGCAGAAACGATAGAGGTGTGCTCTATTAGCCTGCAATGCCCGTTGCCTGCAATGATTCTACGCGTTTGTTTGGAGAGGTTTATTAAAATTTGTATCTTTTTAGATTGCTCTCGGTATGGGTAGAATTTGCGTTAACCCAGCAGAAAAGTTGTAACTTTCTTCTGACCAAAAATGGAAGCGATAGGTGGTGCAGCAATCGATTTATTTTAATTAAAAATAATTATTTTTATGATTGTGTTGCTTATTGGCCGTTTAGTATAATTTAATAAACTATTTTTGAGCTATAGGCCGTATGTTAAATAAAACATTAAATTATTTATGTTTTAGTTTTATTTTGGCCGATATTTCGCCTATAGCTCAAAAATAAATGATTAAAATAGTTATTTTTATAAATCATGTATTTTGCATTTCAACACAATTAGAACCCGTTTCCTGTCGAAAAATTGAACACTAAGAATGTTTACTGTTTGACAGGTTATTTTTCTCTTTCTTTTACATGCAATTCGTTATTGTTATCCCACATATTTGAAGTTATCTCTTTGCGATTAAATATTATGCGATAAATAACGCGTTATACAACGCAAATAATTCCATATGAATTGTTTTCCCTTGGGGGTTTTGATGTGTTGGGGGGACACGCACGCCCACTTGTTTTTTTTTTTTTTTTGTCTTGCGCTTTTGCTAGTTTCCTTTTAATGATTCCACCTAAAGCGTCTAAGGTCGAGGCCACGCAATGAGCGGCAAAGCGGCGCCATACAGAAATGCCGCTCAGCCGCTCAGGGTCGATTACGGTTTGCAACCGAACTTCAGTTGGGTGGCCAGTGGCTGAGGTGGTATTACAGATGGCAACTGGCAACTGAAAGCTGACAACTGAGTTGCTATATTGGCAACTGCATTTTTGTGGTTGCCGCAGAAATTTCGATTTGAGATAATTTTTTTTTTTTTTTTTGTTTCAACTGTTTCTTCAGCTTATTTACACTCAAGCCTTAGTTGCTGGTTCTTTTATTACCTTCAACTTTATAGAACTTAACTATAGTTGCTATTCATAATATACATTTTCATTTTAGTGGCGTTGCCCATCTGCAATCCAACTGCGGTTGAGTTGTCATCCATAATCGACCCATTAATTTTAAACCGCTCAGCTGCTCGACGCTTTACCGCTCATTGCGTGGCCTCGACCTAAAAATGTGGTTAGAATACGCTCCGTAGGTACATTGAAAAAATTCCTGTAAAGAAACATAATAAGGGTATTCATCACGAACGAAAAATGATCCTGAAGATGGCACAACGCCGAAACGGATTTGTCTGCAAACCATGCTTGACAAGGGATGACGGAAATTCGTTCCAAAATGAATCATATTCATCGTAACGTAACAGATTTTAATTAAAATATCGGTACTGAAACGCTGAATTATTAGCAAAGAATTTTAATTAGAATATTGCCTTTGACACATTTCACCAGATGACACAATTGTCATCATCAAATTACGTTTAGTCGAAGGCGGAAATTTAAAAATAGGATTCGGTGCCCACGGATTTTCAAGCAGCTCATAATGCTCGTCGGAGCGTTTTAATTTTTTCGCTACTTGATAGTCGTTAGGTGAATTTTCGGCTGTCACTTTAGTTTGTGCAAATTGAGCAGCCGGAGGAGCGGAATTTGTCCGTTTAAAATACTTCGTTATTTTTACAGAACGCATTCGGAACGGTAGCACTTTTGGTTTTGGTGATTCACTTACAGTGAAAATATATTTTTTCTCCCAAATAGGTAAATTAAGTGTATCTCAAAATATCAACCCCCAAAACCCCTACCTGTGTTCGCCCCTGGCAGGTAAGTAACTCTTCAAGTTTGCATAGCCTTTGAACAGTATTTTGTCATTTAAATTTATTATTTTTTTTTTTGATTTTTTATTATTATTTATATTTGTGTAGTTTTTAACCAATTTTGCAAAAATGAAAAGGTTATCAATTCGTCGTAATATTTTTTTTTTTATGTTTGCTACCACATAACTTTGGACCACGTTAACCGATTTCTATAATTTTTTTTTAAGGAAAGATGGTCCCATACTTATTTGGTTTAAATCCGATCATTGTATCATTGGTAATTAAGGACGAACTTAAATTTTTATATGCGAATTAAAGTCGGTTTTGTTTTTTTTTTGCTTAAAAATTACTTGTTTTTATTTTATCAAAAACAGTTCAAAGAAGTCAAAGAACGTAAAAACTGTTTCTCAATTATAACGATAAAATATAATCGAAAAAATGAAATACATAATTAACAATTTTGCAATAATTTAAAAGTAAAAATGAAAATCCTCATACCACAAAAAATCAAAATAACTAATATTTGTTGTCCCTGCTACACTATAAGATAAATTTACGTAATTATGATTTGATCTCGAATTATCAAAAGCACTACGAATTTAAAAAGCCAGCCGACAGAATGTTGAACAATAAAAAAAGAATATTTTTAAATGCAAATTACAGCTATAAGCATTTAGATATACCTACATAAGCAATGTACATAGTACATTTTGTAGTTATGTATATACAATTAAAATGACTCATTGTTAACAAAAAAAAAAATTAATAGAAAAATCCATGCAAAAATGATAAATACTTTAGAAATAACCACATACTACATGTTGTACATACTTACGGTGACCAGATTTCTGTGGACCAAAATCGGGACACTTCTAGAGAATCGAATCTGAACATGCAATTTTGTTTTTAGAATAAAAATACATAACATCTTTTAATACAGTTTTATTTGAGACAAAATAAAGAGAAAAAAACTTGAATGTTGATCTCAAAAATATATACACACAATATATATGGTGGCGAAAATGTAAATGGGGAAAAGACATTTTAGCAACTTTAGGCTACTTTTCTCTGTTGAAAAATGTTTATGACCTTTAACTTACTAAAAGATAATACTATAGCTAACTAAAATTAAAAAAAAAGAATATAAATCAAGATTTCAAACTTTGTTGAACATTTACAAAAATGCGACGAATTTTGACTAATGTTGATCAAAATTTTAAACGTTTTAATCAGGTTTTTAGAATTATTTGAGCGTGCAATTTTGTAGCCCATCAAATTTTAGTACAACAAAGTGCAAGTTCGAAGTAGCTTGGACTTACCGTTGATTTTTTAGAAATTTTTAGTTCGCGCATTTTCTTCCATATAAAGTGTGTCCGACATTTTTTTTTTGTATGGGGAAAATGGCCAAAACCTTCCACAAAAAAATTTACAAAATTTGCGCTTCGTTTTACTAAAATCGAATCGGCTAAAAAACTGCATATTGGGAAAGTTTAAAAAGCTCCAAATTTTGATAAAACTTTGTCAAATTTCGCTAATTTTTGTACAAACTTTGATATAAATGTTTTTTGTTATATAACGAGCTACGCTTTCATAAAAAATAATAAACATTAAATAATCAGAAGGGGAATGGCCATGGAATGTTAAAATGTCTCTGCCCTATTTACATTTTCGCCATTGTATCAAAAACTTATATTTTTTTATAGTTTCACTAAATTCAAGTTAGAATCGTTTCATTAAAAAAAAAAACTTGACAAAAATTTATAAAAACCGTAAAAAAATTATTGACAAGAATGAGCCAGCAATATAGCGAGAGTACCAGTTTGACAGAATAAAACATAACCAAAGTTCATAGAAAATAATGCTATGTTTGTGGCTAACGAAAGTGCTGCCACGTTTGTATGAAGAATTGTTTTTGGGCCAGAGTACAGGAATAATCTTGTTAAATTAAAAAATAAAACACTGAAAATCGGGGCTTAATCCGTACAAATAGGAAAAATCGGGACACTTATACGTCTCGACTTTTAAAAAATATTCAGCCGGACAATTTTCCCAAAATCGGCCCGGAACCACAAAATCGGTACGAATGGTCAGCGTATACATACTACATACATATCTAAATAAATAAAATTTAGCATCAGTCATGCGATTTTGTTCCATTTCGATTTTTCAAATAATTGTTCCTTCTGCACTTCACAGATGCTGTTTCATGGTTAAAAAAAAAAAAATAAAAAATAGGAAGCGCCTGACGGAATTCGCACCCGGCACCTTCTGGCCGACTACGCATGCATGCTTTCAAATGGTTGGTTTGAACCAATAAAATACAATTATTGCTTTCAAATAACACCATCTTTTGCGAACGTTTCGAA